AGAGAGTAGGATTAATGATTGTGCACAGCTGGCTTTTAAAAATGGAAGCTGAAATTGTGTACTTGAACAAGAAAGGCTGCTAAACACCTGACAGTGTAGGCAAGAGACTTCTATTTCTGATCTCCAGCTATATAAATATTACTTTCATTTAGCCATTTCACTCTCTATATTCTGAAATGTTATGTATTTTTGTTACTGCTGCCCATTATCAAATATTTTGCTTCCATTAACAGTCAAAGTAGTGTATGTTGGTTTAAAGATTCTTTGTTTAAATCTCTCTCTCTCTCTCTCTCTCTCTCTCTCTCTCTCTCTCTCTCTCTCTCTCTCTCTCTCTCTCTCTCTCTCTCTCTCTCTCTCTCTCTCTCTCTCTCTCTCTCTCTCTCTCTCTCTCTCTCTCTCTCTCTCTCTCTCTCTCTGTGTGTGTGTGTGTGTGTGTGTGTATGAGAAAGAGAGAGAGAGAGAGAGATTTAAACCAAGATCTGTTGGTGCTGGGAACAATCGTAGCTTGGTTGCTGTGCTCATGTACTGCCCTTGCTCATCCTTCCTCCTGAGAAAAAAAATTAATGTCCAGAAAAAGGATATTAAATTTTAGTGAGCAATTGGAATAAAGCATAGTTGTTTGGGTTCTTGGAAGAAGTTTAAGTATCATGTGAATAAGAAAGTTTTCCCAGGCTTGTTATACCAGGGGGGGGAGGGGGGGAGGAATGATTGCGAAAATGAACAAATAGGAAAATAGGATAAAATTTGAAGTACTGTACATACTTTCATTAGGTTAATAGTTGAAAACTAGTTTTGTCTGGAGTATGCAACAGCCTCAACAGATGGCTACCCTTTGTCTATCAACCTCTGTTTGAACTGTCTGTATATAGTTTATGCAAGAATACTTTGTGCAGAATCCTTTATGGAAGCAGAGATTTAGAAGTTTTAAATCATTTGGTTTCAAATAATGTTTACACCCTTGTCAGGTAGCATCCTAAGGAGCTGCGGTGGCTCAAGTGGTTAAGACGCTGAACTGCAGGCTGTGGAAGGTCGGTAGTTCAGCAGTTCGAGACCCAAGTGTGCCGCATGACGGAGTGAGCTCCCGTCTCTAGTTCCAGCTCCTGCCAACCTAGCAGTTCGAAAGCAAGAAATTGCAAGTAGAGAAATAGGTGGGAAGGTAACAGCGTTCTGTGCACCTTGGTGTTTAGTCATGCCAGCCAATGGGGCCAGATCTTACATCAGAGGGATTCATGATTTTCCCCACAGGATGTGAAAACATATCAATCGAGAGGTGACAGGATTTTCCCAGCCTGGCTGTCTCCATTAACACTAGTTCATCTCCATAAATTCAAGTTCTTCCTAAGATTAAATGGTTTCTTATCCATAACACTCATTTTATCAAAATCTAATTTGTATGTTTAGCTGCTTGTTCATTTGACCTTATGAGAGCATAAGTAAAGCCATAGTGGATCAGACCAATGTCTATCTAATCCAGCATCCTGTTTCCCTTAGTGGCTAACCAGACATCTTGGAAGGCCCACAGGGAAGGTGTCCACAGGCTAAAACCTCCCCCAGTTGCTTCCACCCAGCAGTTTGCTTTGAGATATATGCCTTTGAACCTGGAGTTTCATTTAGGCATCAGGGCTAATAAAACCCATCTAAACTAATGGCCATCATTATATCCTGTGGCAGTAAGTCAAGTTTCCTGTGTTGAAATCGAATGTAGCCACGTTAGACTTCTTAAGCACCTTTCCATTGTATAAATACTGAACTTAATAGCTTACCATCACAAACGCATCATGTGTTCCCATTTATCCAAACTGCCCACTACTAAGAGCACCCCCAACCCCAGAGTGGTATCCTTGGGAAAAGAGGATATTGATTTATCATCTTGGGAATGGATCCCTTCTAAGGGGTCACTTCCTTGCTCTTTCACCAGATGCCCTCCTACCCTGAGACACATGTTCTCCATGATAGCTAAGGAGCTGTCAGCCTGAGAGTGCGATGGGCTCTAGGCAGTCCATTAAAGTTTCATTATTAGGGTTGCCAGCTCTGGGTAGGGAACTCCCTGGAGATTTGGGAATGGGGCCTGGAAAGGGCAGGGTTTGAGGAGGAGAAAGACCTCAGCAGGGTATTATGCCATAGAGCCCCACCATCTGAAGCAGCCATTTCCTCCAGGGGAGCTGATCGGTGTCATCTGGAGATCAGCTGTCATTCCAGGAGAACTCCAGGCACCATCTGGGATGTCAGCAACCCCATTCTCCATCTATTTCTTGTCCTCTCTCAGCTTCTCCAGATCAGCAGCCTAGTTAAGGGGCAGGGACTTTGTACTTGCTTAAGTATTAAGTAGGTATTGTTCCTGTATTTATTTATCAATATGCGCTAAAAGGTTAGCAACGAAAACTGAATTTGAATATACAATAGCATATGTCAGAAATAGCCAGCTTGGAGACTTATCCTTTTTTTTTTTCCTTGTCAGATGGAGCAAACATGTAGTGGCATTAATACATTCCCATGTTTTCCTGGATCCTTTTAGTGTTTATACCACAGGTTCAGTAAGACACCAGAATTTGCCCAGCACATACTGTTATTAAAAGGCAGAGTATCTTCTGTTTTGTTCTCAGCAAGAATCAGGCAGGCTGCTCATATCCTTTCCTCCTTTTTAGATTAACTTTATTTGTTCTTTAGAACCTGCACTTCTGTATTATTTGCGCTTCCAAGATGAAAACGATGAATGTATTTAGTGTAAAGCTTGAATACGAAGACGCCCCATAGCAATACAAAGAGGAAATGCCTTTTAAGTGAATGTGGTCCTGTGGTTTTGTGGTAGAAGGGCACTGTGTAGGAATCAAGCTCTGAGATGTAAAAGTGTTTCCTTCCTTCATCTGAAATTGTTTATGCACATTTTCTTGATGAAATGAATCAGTTGGTACTGCTGCGCATTGCCACTTATATTAAAATTAGTCTGTCTAGAGAAATTCAACTTCACAGCCTAATAAGCAATATCACTCTTCTGCAGTAGCTACAATAAGATAAGTCTCCTCTGTTTTGCAGTTTCTTTAATTCTGAAGCCTTTGATGTCTTTTGGAAAATCAGTCACAGCACAGCAATATTTTAAAGTCTGCAGATTTTTTTTAAAAAAGTACTGCTGGGTTCTTATTTTAAAAATCTGCTTCTTTGACTCTTCATTTCATCATTGGATTTAGAAGTGCAATTGTATTTGGCTTAAAAAGCACACAATTATAAGGTTACCAAATGTGACTGAGCAATGATCATTTATGTTAGTAGTGACAATCCAAATAGTTGCCCTAAATGTCTTTATGTTCCTTTTCTGAAGATTTAAAAAAGGGAGAGAACACATTCAGCAAAATCAGTCTTCCAGCACTGAAATTGGGGAAACAGCCACCCCCAAAGTACTTTAAAGCTTAAGAACAGTTTTAGTATCCTTCCTAAACTGTCACTTTGATATATCTAGCCTGAATATCTAGAGCCTGATCAAATACAGCAACCATCCTAAGGCAGCAAATCCTATAACTAAAATGTTTCTGAATGGTACCTGTTCAAGAAGCAAATATTGTACCTCTATGCAATCTTGTTCTATTGCTGAGATGCTATTACAGAGTTAAAAAAATTCCTGAAGTATTAAACTCAGTTTGCCTTCTCTGTATTTAAATCCCCCAGTAGAAAATCATTTTATTTTCCTTAGTCTTTCTGGGTATCTTTTTGGGCCAGTTTGTACAAAATGACGAATCCAAATGTTTTCTTCTGTGAGCAAAGGCTGTTCTACTAAGTGATATCACATAGCTCTATGGTTTTACCATAGAGTTTCAAGCAATTCTTAGAGTGACATGACATCATGCTGATTTTTCCTAGAAGTTACATAATGGTGCATGCAACACCAGCGTCTCCATGCACACATGTCCCTGCCCCCAAGCTCCTGCCAGTGGCCAGGCACAGTCTTGGAGACCTATAATCAGTGGGGAACAGGGATACTGAGAAAGGAAAAGACAGACACAGCCTGAAGCACATAGTGAAGAGCCTTCAACACCACGTAAAATCGAAGTGCGGGCTTGCAAAGTGGTCCTTGGTATGAGAATAGAGTTCTGTATGCGTGTCCTTGTTTTCATCTGTGAAATGCTGGATGACATGATGTACACATCTGATAGCAAACCTTGGTTTGCCCCATCGGCAATGAAGTCCTGTAAATGCTGGAAAACTGTTAAAGGTGTCCCATATTGCGTATCACTTTTGCTGTGCCTGTGTGAGAACAAATAGGCTGAAAAAATGCTGAACCCTTTGAAGTTAATAATACAGCATTTACAATTATAATCCTTGTATCAAGGCCATACAAGAGTGATGTATTTATAAGGCAGCAGAGAGACATGGGATGATGACAGAATTGTGTTTATATAATTTTAGCCTGATTCTTCAGCTTAGGTGGTGCTAGAAATGGCATGTTTTAGTACCGCCTTTGCTTACTAATGCTAAGGATGCTGGTGAGGCCAGCGTTGTATTGCTGAAACAAGGCTATGTACTGTACCTATATAAAGTGCTTAGCAGAGCTATGAATTGAGTATTCCCAGCACATCTCCGGGACCTTGTCAGCAGTTTTCTGCTAATGTCCAGCTGCCATGCCTACCACATCAGCTTTGTATTGTTTTTGCTCTGTTGCTTCTCATAACTATAATAGGAATCCCTCAGGTTATTGCTGCAGGGTCAAGATCTGTGTTTATGAATTTATGTTGGTGCCCCTTTATGCAAATAATATTTTAGGATCAGTGGGGAAATGTTAGAAATTTCCTTGGGATTTCTTTTTTGCTGAAGTGGTTTATGATCTATGTCTATAATGCTTTTCATGCTTCAAAGCAACTTATGCACTAACATATATTCTAATATTACTAAATTCATTCTATATACTTTGCATTTTTACTGTATATGTGTATTAAATATAACATGTGTTGAGTATTTTCTCCCCATAATTTGTATTTACCTAACTTTAATAATGTCTTTTCCCCCCCAAGGGTATGCCTTTCTGCTGTTCCAGGAAGAAAGTTCTGTGCAAGCTCTGATAGATGCCTGTCTGGAAGAAGATGGGAAACTTTACCTATGTGTATCAAGTCCCACCATAAAAGACAAACCAGTAAATAAACCAACATACTGTGTTTTCCTTTGATTAGGAGAAATATACTGCCGTAGCAAATAAAGACAATAGGAGCCCTACTAGCTGTCAGTAAATGTCAAAACAATTTAATATTCAAGCTGGTTGTTCTTTGCCATTCTGTAATGGAGTAATGTTCTGATCCAGGTGCCAGATACATGCACACTGTCTGCTTCAGGCATCTGTCTCATACATTTTAATATAATTAGCCTTTATGTATTCTTTGCATGCATGGATTTCATTCCTCAATTGAAATGAATGAATGTTGTCATGTACAAGAGTTATATGTATGCATATACAAGCACAAATAGATCTATGGACTGGCATACGAGTTGCTTTTGTGAGTTTTAAAATAATTTCAGTTGCCAACTTCCTGTATTGCTCCATACATAATAAACAGAATAGTGAATTAACTAGATTTTAAGCAGAATGACAGTACTACAGGGGAAAGCAGTAAACAATACTCTGAAAAATGTGCCTGTCTAAAGTAAATAGAATTTCTTGGTATAAGGCAATACATATTTACAAGATTTGCACCTTAATTTCTTTAGTTGTGTAAATTAGAGTTTTATTTACCAGAATACTTGAACAGGTTTTTTCCTTTCCTCGATTGTTTAAAAATATCCTATGGCTGCATCCAAGTGAAGGAAGTAAGCTGTTAGCCCAGGCTTGAAGCTGATGCCTAATTCCAAGGAGAACTTCCTCATGTAATTTTTTCCCCTTAAAGGGGGGGGGGGACTCCCATGAACACCATCACCCACTTAATATGTGGGTGTTTCAACGCTGTGTTCACCACAAATCAGCAGTCATAGACCAGTCCATGTATCGGTCTTTTAAAAATATGAATCAGGGCCTAGTGTCCATATCAGAATATGAATAGATAAGTGATTTATAGGAGTCATCAAAGTGACTTTTGTGTGGATTTCTTAGTTGAAAACCATCTACAGATTTTGTCCCAAATGTCAGCCATCTGGTTCCTTTAGGTGGACAGAGTAAGTGCTTTCTGTTTAGGCAATCCTCTTAGCCTAAGTAAAAGGCTTAATTCTTTCTCCTTCAACATCTACCCACCTTTCTTGAGTTTTGAAAATGTATGGAATATTTATGTTATGTTGTCAGGTGACAGTGACCGAGTTTTAAAACTTTGAATTTCATATTGTGACATATCACTGTTACTGGAAATTGAACATGGGGGAGCTGCTATTCAAAAAACAGAAACAAAGTCCTCCTTGGGCTTTTAGATAGAGCATTAAAAATAAAATAGTAATGCTAGATTTATGTGAGAAAATATATCATTCTAGACCCACTAAATAAAATATTATATTACCTTGGCGGCTAGAAACAGGATATTTGAAAAGTAGTCTTGTTTAGGTGTTCAGCCTTAGTGTGCCAAACAGAAAAAGACAAGTATAGACATCTGTTAACACTTAACATGTTAAATAATCCACATACGTATTAATGAATATCCATATGGGTATTAAGATCACACATACCATTTCTTATAAATACAAGTGGGACACCTGGGAGGGATGGGAAATTCCATTTTCCCCTTCTCTTCCTGCTTACCGTTGCGGCTGCTGCTTGGTTTCCACGTACCACTTTGTGTTTTATGGCAACCCAAAATGGTGCTTGAAATCCAAAATTTGTACATGTGCAGACACTGTTGTTACCTTCAGATGATTCTTTATCTATCATTTTTTTGAAGTGACATTTTGTTGCAAATATGAGGCCTTCCTTCGTTTTTCAGAACAGTGCATGATGATCAGGGCTGGCCCCACTGTCTGTAATGGGCTATCTGGACAGGTGAATCAGCCCTTTACTATTAGATATAGTGATGATATAATAAATCCTTTGTTTTTTTATTTACAAAGTTATGTCAGCAAGCAAGGTGTTAGCTCTCTAAGCTGCTGCATTAATTGAACCTTTGTATTTTCTGCAAGCCAAGAGTTCGTTTGTGGAAAGTGCTTTGGTCTAATTTCTACCCAAGAATGCACATGCCTGTTGGTTCACTTTCCTCTGAAACCATATGGCAGTTCATTTATGTTCCCACTTTTCTCCTGAGCATCTCAGGACTGACGGTAGGAAGAGCTGTGCACAGTCCTTTTGTCTGTGTACCGATGTAGAGCCGTTAAGCCACCGTGGGACTGCACTTCTTCACCCTGTTTTGCTCAAATATGCAAAGCTATGTGGAAATACCAAGCTGAGAAAAAGCCTGTTTTGCTGGTTTGCAAGAGAAGCAGCTGCCCACCCATCTGAGTGGCTAGGAGCTAGCGACATCACAACACTGCATTCCCACCGTCTCCCTGCATCACTTTTTGAGCTCTTAAGAAATTGTGTAGTTTAGTTTGAAAGAAGATAAGATGCAGAACCTAATGTAAGCAGGCAAACTTCAGAGGACGGCGGAAGACAGGAGGGCCTGGCGGGATCTGGTCCATGGGGTCGCGAAGAGTCGGACTCGACTGTGCGACTGAACAACAACAACAAAAACTTGCAAGAGGGGATAAAAAGAGGTGTTTTTAAAGGCAGGCAGTCTACTGAAGAGTGTTAAGAGGGGGGAAGAAGAAATCAGAATTCAGTGTGGATGTGTACACGTATTTGGTTGAGACAGGTGGGGGAGAGAAGGAAGTAGAACTCATTCTGCTTCAAGAAAATCATCACTTGCCGCTGTTTGTAGATAATCTGTATGTAGTCTGATTGTCCTCTGCATAACTGATTGATCAGTTACAAATCACAGTAGGTGAACACATGAGAGAGGCATCACTGCTTAACCGATGTAGGAACGTATGAAACTGCCAATGGTCTATCTAACTCTGTCTTGTCACCTTGCCCTCCTTTGACAGTAGTTTTCCAGGGCAAAGCTGGATTTATGACCATGCTTAGATAAACTACAGCTAAAGGCCTCAGATTGTGAAGGGCCTCTCAATGCAAACCACATTTACTAAAATTACTCAAGTACCTTTTTTTTTTTGGATAATACCACGGGGACCTCTTAAACTCGACGGCATGTCTTAATCTGGACCTGCTTTCTAGGTCTAAGGCAGAGAAGAATCTGTCTGGACACCTGCTATTGGAGATGTCAGGGCTTGAACTTGGGATCTTGTGGATGTAAAGCATGTGCTTTACCACTGAAAGAACTCCCGTAGTTCTCTGTTTATGAACATTTGGATTGTAGGCAGATCACATAGACATGTAGCTCAGGTAGATCTCAGGACCATCGAAATCAGCCCTAAGAATTTGTGGGCATCTTAAACAGATGCTCAGTTTTACATCTCACTCTCCTGTTTAGCCATTCTTGTGAGGGAGTGACAAACCACTTCTCTTCCTTCCTTAGACAAGTATTTCGTTTGCCCAGCAAGTTTAACATGTCATGGTTACTTGGACCTAGGATCTGAATAGACAACAGATTGGCCCACTGAGATGTTTTACTAGTTGCCAATATCACTGCCTCATATAAGATAACCTGGTTGTGAAAGCAACTGGCCTCATGTGGAGGCTGGCAGGAGGGTGACAGTACATTTGGTCATCTTGCTGTGCTGCTTCAAAACTTCTGTTGTATTTGATAAACTGGCACGAGCAGCCTAACTGGTAATAGCATTAGCTACCAGTAGTTTGAGGGTTTGTTTTAAAAAGATGTGAAAATTTCAAAATTTTCTGTTGTTCAAAAATCAGTTCAAAACTGGTTTGTTTGTTTGTTTGTTTAGGTACAAATTCGACCTTGGAACCTAAGTGACAGTGACTTTGTAATGGATGGTTCTCAACCTTTAGACCCCCGAAAAACTATTTTTGTTGGAGGAGTTCCACGACCCCTCAGAGCTGGTGAGTGAACCTCTGAAGATAGTTTTGTGGATGCTTTCTTGCATTTCAATACTCTTAATAGCCTTTCTACAGAAATGCTCTGCATTGATCAGACCTCTTTTCTATGTGTATCTTTTCCCCTTAAGTAGCAACACTGCTCAAATTACATGTTGCATCAAGTTGCAGTGTTTGTTTCTTCCATTTTTAAAGCCCAAAAGAGCCTGGGCAGAGGGCCTAATCAGAGGAGCACATTGCCACAGGTCACAGCATTTTTCTAACATCAGGTAGGCAGGCTTCCTAGGGCCATTCCATCGATCTTCATACTAAACATTCTGAGGGTGACTGGCTTGGGTGGTATTTCCAGTGCTGCCATGACTACTGATATAGCACAGTGGACATGGGGATTCCACATGACAGGCTTCCCTGCATTTTTACAGCCACAGTCCCCCATAGTAGCTATTTCCCCTTTGCATTACTGGGGGCTTTTTCTTTTTTTCTAATCAGCAGCTGTCATATTATTATAACATGGGTCTGACCCCACCTTTGCTGGAGAAGATCACATGAAAGGTAGGGAAAACCTGGGAGGTGCATACCCTGATGCTGTGGGGGTGGGGGTGGGGTTGCTTCCCAGTAGCATCCAAACCATTGCAAACAACCTGCCTGAAGTGACCTGTGTGAGTAACACATTGACATGGATCCTATGACATTTTTGCCCTCTTGCTTTTTTCCAGCTGCTTCTGAGGCTTTCCTCTGCTGTGGAACTCACTTCCTATGCTGCTACCACTTCTGCTTGCACAATATTAGTGTTTTTTCACACATGAAGAAATGATAGCAGCCGAGGAAGGAATCTCTGTAGCCCAGGAATGCTCCACAGTGGCCGGAGTGAAGCACAAGGGCAACGATATAATAGGATCCAAGCCTATATCTTTAAGAACATTTCACACTCTCCAATTTCTTCTTCTTCTTCTTCTTCTTCTTCTTCTTCTTCTTCTTCTTCTTCTTCTTCTTCTTCTTATTATTATTATTATTATTATTATTATTATTATTATTATTATTATTATTATTATTATTATTATTATTATTATTATTATTATTATTATTATTATTACTATTACTATTACTATTACTATTACTATTATTATTATTGATTTTTTAAAAATATTTCATATATTGGGTTTTAAATGTAATATACACCCTCACTAAGACAAACACACCAACAAAATTACACAGACACACAAAAAGTATTTTCCATTACAGTAACGCAGTCAAGCAATAAGAGAGCAAAAATTGAACAAGATTTATACTCTTCCTATACCTTAGCCACTAGAACAATTCACCACTGAGCAAAACCTACTCTGAATTTTGATTATAATTTGGATATTTTTTTTATTCAAAATTAATCTAAAAAATTACTTTTTCAGATCACAATTCCACATTATATCTCTCCAGGCTAGGCACTAAGAAAATTTCTTTCCTCCAGCAAAAACCTATAATTTTCTCACTCCAATACCTATATAAGTTCTAACTCTCTTCAGACAAACTTCTTATAATATTCAACATTGAAATATTTACTAATTATTACATATAAAGAAGATATTCTTTCACCATCAAACAGAAGGAAGAGAGATATTATGCTTCTATTGGGATTTAGCTACTTACTTCCACATTTAACATTAGAGTCTTGAATCTTTCAATATTACCATACAATTACAATACTATCCAGTTGTTCTCTATTAAGCCTTTAGACATAAAGGGGTTCTGCTCTTACACACCTAATCTATCTTTACCAACACTTATTTCTCTCTAAACCCATAATGTCCCTCTAAACAAAATTATTAAAGGAATTAACAAAGAAGAAGAAGAAGAAGAAGAGATTGGATTTATACCCCGCCCTTCACTACCCGAAGGTGTCTCAGAGCGGCTTACAAACTCCTTTTCCCTTCCCCTCCCCACAACAGACACCCTGTGAGGTAGGTGGGGCTGAGAGAACTCTTGACAGAAACTGCTCTTTTTCAAGAACAGCTCTTATCAGAACTACGGCTTGCCCAAGGTCATCCAGCCAGGTGCAAGTGGAGGAGTGGGGAATCAAACCTGGTTCTCCCAGATTAGAGTCCACGCACTTAACCACTACACCAAACTATACTATTTACTTATATACCTTCCCCCTATAAACAAACATAAACTACAACTTGTTACAACTTATCTAAAACCCAATCACACCTCTCTACAAATCATTCATTCTCTACTACTATAACACCTCACAACCTACCACCCATTCTATTATTATTTATTTATTGCAGATTCTTAACCAAAAAGAAAGGGGGGGGGGAAGTGAAAATTTTAAAGGTCATTTACCAGCTGGATAAACATCAATAAACAAAACATTTCAAACCCTTTCACATAATTTAATTTTTTCCCTATGTATCAGTAATTTGCTTTCCTGCATCAGCATTTCCACATGTCTTCCATCTTTAAATGTACAAAAGATTCCTTTAGCCCTCCTCCCTCTGAGTTTCAAGAGCTGTAACAACAATAATTCATTGTAGGTTTTAAATTTCCACACGCAACGTTTTGATCTCTCTTCCCCCGATTTTTTCCTTTCCTTATTATTATTTTTCAGAGACCCACAACATATCCATAGTGAAGAGAGAATTTTTCTCCCCAAATGTTGCTAGTTTTTTCCAGGCCTTCACATCTTTAATTCAGAGATTCTCCAGAGGAAGGAATTATTTCTGGCCTGTGTATAATTCATTCTCATTTGATTACTTTGCATTTTTTTAATTGCATACCACCTGTGCTTGTAAATTCATTAGTAGACAATGAATTTTCACAGACTCACTGCAGAATGTTTAACAAAACAGGGGAGTGTACTACCTGACTATTGGACTTCTTTTGGTTTTTAATCTGATCAACTGTCAGCATTCAACACCATCTAGGTTCATCATTCGACTCCTGTTATTTAAGATGCGGAATAATAGCTTCTTTGAATCCTTATTTTCAATAAGCCCCAAGAATTATCTTCATTAAATAATCCTTGATGAGCCATCTGTGTTGAGATAACTGTAATGCATTTTAATGAATTGGTGAAAATCAGTTGAACAGTGGATTTGTAAGATTTATCAGTTAATAGTCCTAGAAATATAGCTGGTAAGCACTTTCTCCATTTTTTCCTGTGTTCTCTTTTCCTTGGTTGATAGTTATTGATTCGAATTTTTTTAGCATACAGTCTATTATTCACGGTTCTATTCTAAGGGATTTTTTGCATGTTATAACTCTCAATAATGTTGTCCTTCTTATATTTGCATACAGTGTATAAGAGCTTCTGTAGTGAATAAATGAATATATAGTATTATAATGTTACCTTACAGTTGAACTAGCAATGATTATGGATCGTTTGTATGGAGGAGTCTGCTATGCTGGCATTGATACAGACCCTGAGCTGAAGTACCCGAAAGGTGCTGGTAGAGTGGCTTTCTCCAATCAGCAAAGCTATATTGCTGCTATTAGTGCACGCTTTGTCCAACTCCAACACAACGACATTGATAAACGGGTAAGTATAACATCGCACAATGAACGAGTCTCTGCTTATATATGTGTGACAGTATTTGATCATATGGAGATGCTATATACCAGGTCAGAGTATTGGGTCATCTAGCCCAGCGTTTAGTCCTGTGACAAGTGCTCTCAGACTGAGGTATTTGCCTAACACCTACTATCTGAAAGCTCTTAATTTGGGCAAAATATGTGATGATTTTTAATGAGAAATATCTGGTTTCTCCTGACTTGGACTCTCACAGTCACACATCAGGTATGAGGGAACTTGTTTCCCAAGCATGTAGCCCTTTGGTATCACAGCAAGCAGTGAGAAGGGGTTTCAGCCTTCTACTCCAAATGCTATTTTCCCAACCCAAAATGGCATTATTTGTTCCCTTGGGGTATTGCATGTGTAGTCCCTCAGTACACATGTAATCAGTGTATTTGCTTATAAAAAATGTATTTATTTATAGATCTGATTAGCTTAACAACCAAAACACAGTGAGAGTTAGATTTTGAAATTTAGAAAGTTTTTAAAAATCTCAAATATGGGAAATATAAAAATGTGCTAAAATAAAAGTTGTGTTTGAAGGTGAATATCTAGTAGAATTTCCTTGACACTCTTCACTGGGAAACTTCCCTTTAATTGAACACATTTTGAACAGAACCTATTAGGCAATAATGAAAAGTTAAACTAGGCAGAGGTAGCTGAGCAAAGATTTTCCTGTGCTGAAGGGAACAGAAAAGATTCAAAGGTATGCGAAGTCAAAACAGTGGTTCCTTTTCCTTTTCACAATTTTAATTCTCCCCACATCAAAACATTTGTTTAGAATGACTTGAATGGGAATTGCAGGGGGTTTTTGTATCTACTCATCCTTATTATCATACAAATTACTCATTTCCAAAGTAAATTGAGAATGCAGAACTCCGGACAAACAACATTACTTATTGCTCTGTTTGTTCTAACTGAATATCCCAGTGGCATTATTTTTCCTCTGCAAGTGAACAGAACCTTCTTGCTTTGCTTAAAAAAAAGTCTTGTACTAAACTATATAAATAGAAAGAATACTAGTTTAGTAGACATGGCATGTCAAAACACTTAGAATTTTGACTTTATACTTGCTACTCAAACCAAAATACTTGCATTTTATGTGAAGAAGAAAAGAGTTTCTGTTCATGACCTGGATAAAAGTCTATTTGTAATTACTATTTTAGTATCAGTGTAATGACAATTCAGAGTTTCCTGTGCAAGTGTCCTATTTGATCTCTGAAAAGAATGGGGTTTTAACATCAGGTAACCAGGGAGATATCGTATTCAAATACGTATAATATATTCCGATTCATTTGTTTATCCTTGCAAGCACATGTCAAAGCTAAAAGTGGTTTGAGATTTCTTCTCATAATGTAGGCTCTGAATGGGACTGGTGGGGAAGAGTTACATGTGTGCATGGGTAAGTTGCATAAAGTGGGACATCTTAGCTATGATCCAAAGCTCAGAAACATTTTCATGCATATTGAATATTTTATATATAATGTTTAAAATGCATTTTTCTCTATCGAGGAAAGCACTATGCCCAGGCTGTACTCATAGGTTTTTCCTCCAACATTCTAGAGAACATAGAACAACTTTTTGTGTACAGTAGATTCTCCTTGTGGTTTCACCACAGCTAAAACTCACACTAGTGGTCTTAGAAGTTATAACCTATGTCCCATTGATTTCAGTGTAAGGTACTAAAATATGTGCTTAACTTTCCCGTTGAAATCAGTGGGATATTGACATTCATAACCATGATTAGGATCATGTTCCTAAAATTTTAACACCTTTTTAAGCATGGCATACAAGTGTAGAAAACAACACTTTTAAAGTAATTAATTTTATACCTGGAACAATTATTGTTCAGTCATGCTGCTGTTTTGCCTCCAAAACCAAGCTCAGAATATTGTTACTTTGATGCTGAATCCCTGTCTACCTATTTTGAAAATAACCTCTAGTTTTTGAGAAGGAAACATGGGACAGTACCAGAAATATGATCTGCTTCTTATTTTTGCTTTCTAACAAAGTGTTAGAGTGGTGCCAAATTCACCTCGCATTAAAATGCTCTTTTAAATTGCCAGGAAGTTTAGTAAACTTGCAACTCCAAATTTAGCTCACTGTTATTATCTCGCAGAAGTTAACTTGATCCTTATATAAAGGTAAAGGTAAAGGTTCCCTTGCTCGAAAGCCAGTCGAATCCGAGTCTAGGGTTGCGGTGCTCATCTCCGTTTCAAAGCCGAAGAGCCAGCGCTGTCCGAAGACGTTTCCGTGGTCATGTGGCCAGCATGACTAAACACCATGGTGCACGTTACACTGTTACCTTCTCACTGAAGTGGTACCTATTTATCTACTTGCAATTTCTTGCTTTCGAACTGCTAGGTTGGCAGGAGCTGGAACTAGAGACGGGAGCTCACTCCGTCATGCGGCACACCTGGGTCTCGAACTGCTGAACTACTGACCTTCCACAGCCTGAAGTTCAGCGTCTTAACCACATGAGCCACCACAGCTCCTGATCCTTATATAAGAGATCCCAAATATGAAATGTTGTAATAGTTGTGATCTTAAAATATAGCCATCTTTTTTCCAAAAATAAAATAATCAGATCTGGAAATTGCCCGAATAACATCGGTCTTCATGCAAAGAAGGTTCATCGTTAACTCTTATGACCCAAACTCAAATTTGTAGGAAAGTTGGTGACTGTGTGCTGATTAACATTTCAACTGCTCCCAATACTCCCTCCCCCCCATTTTGGGTGTAGTTCTCCCCAAATATCCCTCTCCTGACACAGGAAATGTGACTATGTTTTAATTTAATTCTCCAGCCACAGTTAAATTCCGAAATGGTTCCCAGGCATAAATTACAATTAAAATTTCAAGCAAGTGTTCCTCGGGGAAGTTGGTGCTAAGCTGAGCTGGCTACTGGCACAGTGGAGTGATGCCTGGCTGCTTCCTGCCCTCCCTCTGGTGGCCTCATTATTGGCAGCTGGAAGCAGGAGGGGAAGGATCGCTCATCTAGAAATTGGTCAGCTATGGCCTACTTAATAAACTCCTGTTCCCTAATTGCCTGGCAACAATGGCATATTAATGTTTACCTTACAATAACTGTATCTCTCCTTCACCACCTCCGTTTGCCTACTGAGATCTCTAAAGCAGAGCTGGCCAACCCTTTTCAGCATTAGTGGCTCCATAACACTTTTTGGTAGATACAGTTTTCTGGGCATCTGCAGCACCATAGCAGGACAGGCCGTACCAGCCAAAACTGCCATTTCCATACAACACAAGGGTGCTAGTGATAGGAGGTTGTCCATCTCTGCCTTAAAGCTTCTGTCATGGTTATACAATATATGGGTCTCTCCAGATGTAGAAACTCTGAGACAATTCACACAATTGTCTGTCATTTCCTGTGTTAATTTTGTACCCCCCTTCCCCCCTCTTTCCTTTTATAGGTGGAAGTGAAGCCATATGTGCTTGATGATCAGATGTGTGATGAATGCCAGGGCACTCGCTGTGGTGGGAAATTTGCTCCGTTCTTCTGTGCCAATGTTACCTGCTTGCAGTATTACTGTGAATACTGCTGGGCAAGCATTCACTCTCGTGCTGGACGAGAGTTCCACAAACCACTTGTGAAGGAGGGAGGAGATCGGCCACGCCACGTTCCGTTCCGTTGGAGCTGAAGCCCAGGCCCAAACCCAGCAGCAAGTACTGGAGCCGATGAAATTGAAGGAAGACAGAGTGCTGCCTCAGGGCTTTGGTGTTCTGGAAATCTGTGCATTCATCCTTGACTATAATGAAGAGATGGGTCTTTTATTATGATTATTATTATTATTATTATTTACAGTCACATTACTGAACTCCTTGTCCAGTATAATACAAGCCTAGCAGAGTGTAACTGTACTGATTTTGCACTTTGATTCACACAAACATCTGCTTGGTACCTTAATTTCTTACACAAGACTTGTCACACGTGACAATAAGTAGACTGCCATTCTCATCGGCCTCCACTGGGTTGATGTGTATGCGATGAAGATTTTTTAAAATTGTAATTAATTTTATTTTGAAACTGGAGCATGCACTTATTTTCAGAAACGTAGACTTGCCCCTAGCAGATGATTTACCAAAGGTAACACTCACAAGTAGGTGGCAGATGTAGCAAAAACTTCAAATGGATATTCAGCAATCATTAGTTTGGGTCACTTAGAGTAGGAATAACCCTAAAAGGTATTTTGTCGCTCTCCATTTTGACTGGTAAGGATGATACCTCATAAGCTGGATCACATTTTCCCCACTCCCACCCCCTTTTTTTTTGTTTTTGCTGAGGGTTTCCTATTTGGTTAGGTCTTTTAGTGTTATGTAAATGTATGCTGCAATAGCTTTTGCTGCTATTAAGATGGTATTACTAATACCACAATACTCTATTCAAGCTTAGGGTATCGATTTGAAAAGATGATTACGTGATTTAAAAAGAGTGATGACTGCTGAAAGGAGATCATTATAGCATTCAGAAAGCTTCCAAGGAAGGTCAATAGTTTTGACTGCATGTTTACTTAATCAGGTTGCTGCATGCAATAAAATTTTTTAATATTATGTCTGATATAAAAATCTGCCCACAATGCACCAATTAAGAATCTATATAGGCTACAAAAGTACTTGGCAAAAGAAATTAAGGAAAAGAAAAACACACACACGTGCTTACGTATACGGCACACATAGATTACTGACTGGAGGAAGGCATGCCTCAGCAAATGTAAATGCTTCTGAAATTAGGATCAACCCATTGCAGTACAACCTATATTACAACAAATCTTTTTAAAAACTAGATGTAGAATATCCTTACAATGAATTCGTGAATGATAGACGAAGTACTTTGCGGTGCTCTGTTATATATTGTGCAATTTATTTTGTATAGTAAAGTGATTATGTCTAGTACTGTGATCAAACTTTAACTGTTTAAGCCTCTGTGTCTAACATTCACACACTTCTGACGGTTCACCAAAAGATAACCATGCTTATACAGACAAAGGACAGGTTGAGCTCTTCGTTTCAATCTCTCACATAAAACGCTTGCACCATGTACGTAGTTGCAGCCCTCCTCTGGAAAACCAAAGAGCTCATAACAACATATGTACACTACCAACTTAGATAGTAAGCTGATAAACTAGGCATGAAACTATGAAAGGTGAAGGGGAAAAGTGGTGCTAAAGAAATGTCTGCCTAAAGAGTTAACTTGTGAGATGTCTCCTTTCGGGTGTGACGTTAATTTCTTGAACCCTGGATGTATCCTGTGAAGCTTGAATACAATTGAGATCTACTATATAACGGTGGACATTTTTTTAGCATGTACTCTGGGGCTGCAAGACTAACACATAAACACACATTAGTGTGCTAACTATGGGAATGTGAGAATGTGTACACTATTTTTCTGGGTTTTCTCTTTTGTTCTCCCCTGTTTTTGCAGTTCTGGGGACTGGATATTGACACCGCATAGTAGATTTAAATGTTCTGGGTTTTGTGTGTTGTGATGGCCTTGTTAATGTCTAACTCTGTAAGTTTTCTTTTCATGTTTAGTTGCAATTATTGGCTCTGAAAGGAACTTTCTGTGTTAAAAAAAATAGTTTTTTACTGGTTTAAAAAAAATCATTCTTATCCCTTTCATGTTTTCTTCTGGGCACTTTTGTGATATTGCTTTTTCCAGCCCAGGTGTCTTTCTTCTGTTTGGGTTTTTTTTTTTCATCGATACAAGATTTGTTATGCACTACTTTTTGTATCTAGACAGTTTTCAATAGTTGGCAGATTATTCTTTTTTAAAAGAAAAGGCATGCTTTCTGACTGACATGATCTTTTGCAATACCTCAATTTTGAAATATAGGAAAGAAAATATTTTCTAAGTAAGTTTATTCAGAAAAATATATATTAATTTAATTCTGCGAGAAAATGATTTAACAGATGGGTAACTTTATTTTTTTCATGCTTATTTGCGTTTTTGAAAATGAAGAAGTTAGAGCTTTATAACTGTAATATTGAAGATCATAGCTAACCTACAGAAGTCTACCTAATTATGTGAAACAAGTATACATTTTTGAAGAAATTCCCCTCTTTCATGTACAAACATACCCTGGAAAAGAAAGGAGGGGAAAAGAGAGAGAGAGATCCTGGAAGTTATATACATAATAAGATTAAAATTAATACAACCAGGTTGTCATAAAGGAAAGGTGTAAATTAAAATCTCCATTTGGTGCTGGAAGTTGTGAATAGAAAGGTGAATATTTTCCCCTTAATTTGTATATTTATAATCAAGCAATTATGCACGACTGACCAGAATTGTGAGAGTTCTTCTGTTTGTATTTTTTTAAAGATAATTTTTTAGTTTATTAAATTATAACATGGTCCCTTTTTGTTTTGTAAATGAATGTGCCCCCTAAGTTGTTAATATGTTATATTATTATAAGAGGGTCCTTCAAGAAAAGAAGTTATTTTTTAAACTAAGGTGTTCTGAACTGCAACTTGACTAAGAAGCCCCTGGGTACAACAGGTCCTCTTGTGGCCTTCTCTTGATGCGAGACTTGAACTAGTCGATTTTTTTTGAAGGCAACTTAACCTCGACTATTTGTTGTTATGTGCAATACTGTTTGTACTGTTTGTATAAAAAAAGAAAAAAAAGAAAAGAAAAAAGGCATAAATCTTTATTGCAGATTTATTTTCATTGCAAACTTTAGACATTGTGATTCACTAAGATCATTTTTCTACTGTCAAATATGTACCTTTTCTTCATGCTGGTATTTTTTCAATAGTAATGTAGCCTTTGTACTGAGACAAATTTTCATTGTTATTTTTAGAAAGATTTTTTGCTAAGAGAAATTTAAACATTGACATATTTTTCATTTTTATTTCAGATTTTCTTTAAGGAGTGCTTTCTCAACCATTAATATAGTTGTTTCTGGGAGAGACTTTCATATCTGGTCAATGTCATTAATATTATTTTGTATTTTTACTTGGAATAAATTAATTTTATGATGCTAATTCTTTAAAAGTTTATTTTTTCATTTTCAGTTATTTTTGAAGCTAAAAAAACCTTTGTAATATTGTTACTAAAGTGTCTAGTTTTTTGAAATGCAAAGCTTTATGTATTAACTCGCTGATGTGGTTTACAATGGTGTGAAAATGGCTGGATATGTAAAAGATTGGAACAACTGTAATGAATAATTGGGCAATAAAATTACAGAATGAAGCAGGAAAATGATGTGATATTTTTGAAAAGCCTTTTTCCTTTATCAAAATGATTTAGGAAGATAATAGGGATGTCACAGTACCGGTTCTCTGTCTAGATTTATACAACACCAGTGCTGATAAACACTATTGCTGTTGAAATGAACTCCAATCTATAGAAAGAGCAGGGTTATGACCCTGCCTGTTCAGCATTATACTTGCGGCTCCCTCCCCCCCATCAGGCACACTCAGCACTACTGCTGGACAGCGGGGTGCAGTTGCCAAAAGAATAAAGGGAGACTACACAGCATTAATGCTTGGTCAATTCTCTCCCCGCTTAACTGTGCTTTACAAGCCTCTCTTAAAAATCTCTCCCAAGTTGCTTCAGTGCGATCTATCACGACACTGTTTATTTAACGCATCCCTTCATGCCGCATTTCCATGCACTTCTTTAAGTGGTAACCCAGAACAAATGGAGGAAGTTGTATAGTATCTGCATAATTTTACAGTGCAATTACAATACAGTGTAGTTTACTGCATAGTTAGTGCTAAATAATGCATGCGTAGCAACTCTTATTACTGTATCAGAGCACTTTTTGCAAGCTTCTTGTATATTTCTCCCTTTGTGTTAGCGTTTTTCATTGCAGGTGCATCACCCCCTTGCTGCTATCAAAACACTGCATCACTTTATGTAGTCCATTGCCTTAGTTTATCTTCCCCCCCTCTCCTTGCTGTTTCCTGGCAGAATTCATGTGCCGAATCTAGAGATACTGTTATCTATCCCATAAGATCCTAAAAAACCAAACTGGTGTTACATAAACATATATACAATGGCCTTCTCTAGATGCATCCATTGTCAGTTTAGGTCTAGTCTTAAACTGACTTCCGGGGGGCAATTTATCAACCTCTTCTGGAAATGTCTAGAGTTGGCCCATTGTGTCCTCTTTGTAAGTAATGTACAGGCAAAATCAAACAGTAAAATTTAGACTCCACTTAGGTACAACTGGTTGGGATGTACACACATTGTAAACATTTAATAGAAGTGAAGGAGAAGCTTTTGGAATTCCTGCAAAGTGGTACAGTGTGTGCTTAGATTTCTGCCTACACACTTGCCTTCTAGGGAAGGCAGTTGCTAAAAAAAATGTATTACAAATATGCAGTTAGCAAATTAACTTTGCTGATTTCATTCTATTCATTAGTACATAAAATAGTGCTTTACTGGGGAACTAACCCATCTTAATATTTCAGTATTGTGACATCTCTACTTACAAGGTATGAGTGAAAGATTAGTCACAGATTTGTAAAAAATAAAATAAAATAAAAACGTCTTTTTGTTAAACCTGGCTTGTATGTAGTTGCTTTTTACACCAGTTTGTATGATGTTGGCTTAACCTTTTTTTTAACCAGAAATCTTTTCTTCTGAATCTCTGCTGTTGTAGTGTTTCGTCTTACCACAGAGTATTTTATATTCATGCTGGTGATTTGCTCTATAGCCCAAATGGGTAACAAATCAGGAGCTATGTTATGTCATTCTGCACATTTTAAATTTACGTAATGATAACGTTTAGCAACAAATAGGTATCCAGGGTGCTAATACGGGATAATCATTTCTGCTTTTTTTTCTGGATGTAGTTATGTTGGGATATAAAGTATTAGGTATTTGTAATTTTGCTGTCGAAATAATGGACATAACTTTTAGAGTGTTCACAGCTAAGATCTCTGTACTTGTTTTTTCAGCTAACTAATTTTAAATGTTCCATATCTTTTACTACATGTTCTCTTAGACTGGTTTTGCTAGTAACCCTAAAGGCTTTTACCTTTTTTTGGCTTGAACTAATGCTTTGTATGGAACTGCAGTACTGTGACTAAACATGGAGCTCAATGCTGCTATTGCTTACAACTGCTTCAACTTTGTAGTTTGGACTTAATTTTTTCTGTAATAACTTATTAAATCTAGTTGTATGAAGTACTGACATTTGTCATCCTTTGCATATTTGAAAGAAAAGATGGGAGGAGCACTGACCGGAATCCAAACATTAAAAGAAATTCTATGAATCTCCCTCCACGTAACACATTTGAAAAACTTGGTGTTCATATTTATTTTTCTATCCCACCCTCCCCACAAGGGTTTTCCATTTTACTTTGGTATGGAGTTGTTCAGTCAGTTGTCTCGAAAAGCAACTTCTCTAATGTCAGAAGTAGCTATATTTACATAAAAGTAAACTTGCACCAAGAGTGGAGACCAGCCAGGAGGGGAAGGATAACACAGACACGCCAGCGGGGGAGGGGGATCAGGCCACAACTTTACTGATTACATATTCTTCAGGTCTTGGTGCAGCTTGGGTGGGAAACAGGTGTCACTGACAGCCCAACTGCTGGTGGTGATCCCCCCCCCAACCCACTTGTTGGGAACTAGTTATAAAGTACAAAGTAGTGACAGCCACTATTGGTGCCTATCATCAGCCTCGGTTGGTTTGCCAGCCCAGGAAGTGGGCACCGTGTCCCTAGCCCCCATGCCCCTAGAAAGTTTAATCCTGCTGCTCAGCTGAGTTTCTCCAGACTACTTTCCCTCAAGAAGTCGTCTTAATGGTTTGGAACGGAAAAGTTAAGCATAAATGGTTCTTCAGTAGGTTACAGAGTTCCAACAAATCAGTTGTTTATTGTGAAGTCTAGTGCGCCACCTGTGTTGGAGTTTTAATGGTGAATAGCTGTAACAATCTTTCATACCCCACCAAGAACAATTACGAAGTTAGAAAGAGCTCTGCTCAATGAATAGTAGCTTTCTGTGTGCCATGCGTTATCTTACCTGTAAACCAGCTATTTCCCAAAAACTGTTGTTGGCCTTCAGTGGGTCTCCCACATTTCCTTCCATCAAGCTATCATTACCAAATAGGAAATTTATAAACTCAGCAAAATTAGGGAGTTTGGAAAGAGGTTATGGGTATCCACATTGGTCCACAGCACAACCCAAAAGGAAAAGTCATGTAGTGTGTTCTCTTAGGACCAACCAAAAGACACATCATCAGCTTTGATACTTTTTATTCTTCATCTTCAATATAAAAGAGGCCTATGGAAGAAGGTTTTATTATCAGGATCTTGGTAGCAACTGTTTCAACCATAGTACATAGTTTTAGGTATTGATAAAACTTTTGAATTAGGCCCATCTGTCATGAATGTCCTTGTAAGAGGCTGTTATACCGGAGTGCTTTCGCTTTGTGGCTGTGACCTACATCACTGCTCACCAGCTGGGTATTGTACATCATTAGCTGATGGCAGCCTCGTGGTGCTGGTATAGAGATGTCCCATGATCCTGGGCATTCATGGAATAAGTAGTACCACACATTATGAACCCCTCACGGTGAGGTTTCCACACAGGACTATTCATGTGCTCCTACCAAGTGGTGTGGGAGTAGTGACATACACATTAGGACAAGTACAAGTTTTTGCAAAGTTTGA